TAATTTGCTATTTATTTTCAGATGTCTTTTCTCAATTTTTTGCTCATAATATGCTAGCAATTCTCAACAGAGTTGAGATCAAAACTTACCTGGCCAGCGTAGGCATCTGATATGGGGCCTCTTGTTTAGGTTAAAAAAATTTCTACAACAATGTATTTGCCAGTTTAAGTGACAAAAATGCTAACACACTGTAGAGAAAGGATACATTATACTTTACTCATTGTCTTGATTCGGTAACATGGCAGAGTTGACCTGAAAAATGAAGGATTTCATGTCACAAAATTGTTCCTTGATTGTTGGAATTAGTTTGGCAGATAATATATCTTCATAGCACTCTACATTCACAGACCCATTTATAAAGTGTAGTCTGCTGACAACTTTACTGGATAAATAATGTAGTGAAAAAATGATATGGCAGTTCATACCATTTTCTCACCAGAAACTTTACTGTCAGCATTAAACAATCCTCTTATAGGCCAATAATTTGCAATCAGGTTAAAGTTGAATTCATCCAAAACATAATCTCATATGTCAATGCTCCAGCCCACATGCTATTTGGTCCAGATAAGCTGCTATATACACATTTACTCATTAATAATGGATTCTGATGTGGACAGTAGGCTTTTAAACTTTCATGCTACAAGACAATGTTGCACAGTTTGTATACTCACTTTTATGCCTGTCTGCTGTTCCCACTTTAGTTTTAATTCAGAAGAACTAGAAGCATGTTTTTGTAGGTTGAGATATTTTAGCATTCTATCCTGGCATAGCATACTTTCACATATATGTCCTAATCCAGCTTTCTTTCAATATTGCCATGTTCAAGTCTCTTTTTTAAGAAATGCACAATTTTAAACTGATAACAATGAACTCTGTGCTATTCTTCAAAAGTATTTAAAGCAACAATTATGGACATTTTAGCCAATGGATGATATAATCATTAAGAATATTGTCACAGTAACTTTGTCATCCAATAAAAAGTTCTCTCAAGTATATGATGTCATGGATGATGCAATTTTTACACTTTCAGGTCTGTAGCGAAATGATATTTTAATTTAGAAAATAAACACATTTTTAGAGATTTTATGACTAATGCAATTTCCACAATTGTTACTGTATATCATAAAAACTAACTTCAAAAAAGAACAAATTTGGCAGCATTTTTAAATGTAAAGTTAATGTATCTACCTATTAAATAGGGTTTCTCAAACAGGATTCCGGGATCCCGGTTGTTTTTTTAACCCGGGAAATCCCGCAAATTTCTTAAAAATTCACTTTTTTTCTTATTTTGTGTTAAGGTTGAGGAATTTTGCAGATAGAAAGCATAATTAACTCATTCACTGTCAGAATACATTTGTATTTATTAATTTTAAACCTACCTATTAGTTTTTTTTTTAATTTTTGCTCGTTATAGCATGTCACAAATGGTCAATAATCAATATATAGCTTATTTGTGGCAGGACTATAAAAATTCTTTACTTGTCGGAACCTGTAATATCTGGAATAATTGTGCTTACGCTGTCTTGAGTTTTAACCATGCCCAGTAGCTTCAATAAATGCCTGACGCCAGATTGTGCAAATTGGGCAAGGATACAAACGAGTACAAAGTCTGCAAGTATGAAGTTTTTCTTCATAAACCTGATTATTAAAGCCAAATGAATTGCCGAATTATCGAGCTCTAAGCTTGATGCCGCTATTAAAGCAGCCAAGGTAGACAAATCAAGAATACTAGAGAGCGAAAGAAGTACTACAATCTCGAAAACGAACTCGAAAGCTTCCAGGCTACAGGTGAAAAAACACATAATATCTGTCTTCTCTTAAATGCATTAAACACTATTCCAATCACATCAATTGAATCGGAAAGGGCATTCTCGGTGGCAAGACTTTTCATTACTAAAATAAGAATTAGAGTGAGTTATCGGAGTATTGACCATCTTTGCTTTTTAAAATCTTATAAAAGTTTGCAATATTTTGTATTATATTTTATTTAAAAAACGAAAATTATCTTCTAAATTAGGAGTTCATTTTTTTTAAATTTTTAACTAAATTCAAAACATTTTTTTTGTTGTTGTTGTATGCAGTTTCCAGCAAACTTTAATTAATTTTTTTCTATTTGTGAAAATTTCTACGTTATTTAAAGGTAATTTTTATTATAGGCCTATAGACCTAACACAGCATTATTAATATGATTTTGGAGGTTACAAAACTTTAAAATTACTTTAAAAAATGGAAAATAATTATATCATTTGATTTCAAGATATTTTGTATACCTTAAAAATAATTAATTCTATCCCGGGATCCCGGGAAACAGTTCACTTTTATCCCGGGATCCCGGGACAAGCAAAAGACCGGGAAATGAGAAACCCTACTATTAAAGATACTGAAACTACAGGTGTCCCAACAGAAATTCCTTTACAAAACAGGGAATTAGGAACATAAAATAACAATAAAAGAAACCAAATTACAAATTTTACTTAAAAAAAATGATTAATGCCTTTTGTTCATACCAGGCTGGACTTCTTGGTAGATGCAAATGTTCAGCATGTTTTGCTTTTTTTTATTAGTAAAGAAGAAAAAATAGAACCAAGAACAAGTTTACCACAAGCTTGGAATAAACCAGAAACTTTAAAAAAAGGAATACAACAAACAACAATTATCCGAGATTTACATATTTCTGTACAATATGCCAAATGCCATATAACTAATATAATTTATTAAGTAAATGGAATACGGCTATGTATACAGAACGCTATTTTCTTTTATATTATTATTAATTATTTATTAATGTGAAGGTAAACAGCATATGCCCAGTGAGAACCTCAGATGTTACCAGAAAGATTTTATAAAAAGTAAAGCAGGATTTCTCAAATTGAAGACGTAATTATTTTTAAAGTGGCTCAAAAAATAGTAAGTTAGCAGATCTAGTAGCCTAGAGCCCTACAAATATCTCCATCTGGTAATTGTAGTCCAATCTTGCAATCCCAAAAACCAGACATATTTTACAAGATAAGTGAAAAAAAAAAAAAAAAAAAGTCCTTGGATAAAGAGACACATGAAAATGTGTTACTGTAATAGCAAAGCCATATTCACAAGATTAGAGTTGTTTTTTGTCTATTGTTCTCTTATAGCACGAAGGCATTTCAATCTAAATCAGGGATGGCCAACACGTAGACTGCGGTTGACTGCAAAGGTTTTGAAAGTAGCCCGCAAAGCTAAAGTTGAACAATTTGCTTTCACTTAAATTAATGTTTAAAAATCTTAATTCGATAATTTATTCTTACAATAATAGACTGTCTGTGCAACGTACCCATACTGTTTGTATTTATCCCGATGAACAATGCAAATGAATGTTAACGCATGCGCATATAAAAATCCTAAAATTGTTTGCCCATATTCATAGTCGCCCACAGACTATATTTTACCAAAAAAGTAGCCCCTAAGGGATAAAAGTTTGGCACACCTGATCTAAATGAATGATTTAACATATATGTATCACAGTTCGGACAGAATTTTCACTTCAAATTTTGAAGTAGCTATATTTCAAACTAACTGAATTCCTCAATATGTAAATTTCTAGATACCAGGCTTGGACAGAAGTACAGTTACACACTAATGGGATTTTGAACTATTACAGCTGATTGCAGAGACAGAGTTTACATTAAACGACATTTAACAGCCGAACAGCGGTTTAAAATGCTTAGCAAAGACAACTATAGTCTACTTCTGAATGCCATCTAAATGAACCTTGGCAAAACATTGGCTCTTACTTTCTTCACTGTTCTCCCCTCTCTCAAGAATCATTTAACCAATCAGGTCATTCTTTTATGACGTTAGAAAAATGGCAATGAACAACGCGTTCAAATCATGCCGGAATTTTTTTGAAGAAGAAAAAATTGTCTTTGCGAAAATTATAAAAAATTATCCTACAGTTGAGGAAAAAGGTTACAACAATCGTATTCTGGGGATGAAAAAACTGCATGGGAGATGATACAGAATAAATTTTCTTTGTTGTTTCCTAGTCAGTCTGCTCGCAGCAAGATCTCATTCTTATTATAAACGTCTCTATCACTTTACAAAAAACTTTTTGAATTTATTTAATGGTAGTTTGATAGATACCTGCATACACTAGAGATGTGAACTCCAGTAAGATCACTGGCAACCCCTGGAAGTTTCCGGTAGCATAAAATTGTAATGCTATCAACAGCTGTTGTTCAGTAGTTAATGGTAATCCTCTTTCATCTAGATGCTTAATTTTGTCATCAATACGTTTTAAAATGTGAACAATTCCCAGATTTAAAAAATCTATACCGAATTTGAAATTTGTCTTCAGAATAGATTTCTAAAAGATTATCCCAATCTCATATTACCCTCTCTTCCTAACTGTCGAAATGAATAATTTTCTTGATTCATCCCATTTACAATATTTATTAAATGAACAATATCCATTATAACATAAACTTTGTGACCAAGAAATGAATATGGCAACTTCTACTCAAGTAAAATGATAGTCTAAACCTCATAACAAAGGAGTCTAGAAAGTAGGTCAAATAACTTGTTTCTAATCACTGTGTAAACTGTGGCAAGCAGAAACGCCATCTCTGCAATAAACTTTTTCTGAACCGCGGTCTAGACAATCTCTAAATTTTTGTTGGCATCTAAACATTGTCTCTGCAATTGGCTGTTGAATTAACAAAGATTTCCTATATATAAGAATGATTGTTTGAATCCATCTTAAAAAATGTATAATTTAAAGAAAATGTTTTGAGAATATGACCTGTTAATATAGATAAAATTATAAAAAATCAAAAGCATGTACAAGTTTAAAAAAATTAGATTCTACAAAATGTCACATCATAATATAATAAAAAATAATGCTGTAGAAGATAATATGTTATATATCACTAAATTTAAATTATCAATCATAATTTATTTCATTTATCTTTTACTACTTTTTAAAATAAAAATTTTAAATAAAATTATTATTCTTAATAATCATTTACCATTTTCAGTAAAGTTAAATAATGGAGGGAGTTCTCGACCATTTGGTAATTTGGTACCAGGTTCGCGAAGCTCATCAAAGAAAGTATGTGCACAAGCTTGAAGCGGTGTAATACGAGCAGATGGAGTATATTCCAGTAGTCTTGATACTAAATCTATTGCTTCGGGAGGAGTTCGAGCTCTGAAAACCTATAAATAAAATTTTAAGTCAAATTACACACACATACTCCTAAATTAATGAGTTAGCTAATAGCTCTTCTAAATTTTCTTTATAATGTTGGTAATTTGTTAAATACAGTAATACCCTGAACTTACGCGATAGGTGGGACCGAGCGGTAACCGCGTAAGTCAGGGTATAATTTCGCATATAAAAACATACAAATAATTTTTAATTGGAGCCGGAGACTAAAGAAAACAATAATTTAGAAAAAAATGTTTAATAAAATCTTAGATAATACATTTGTATAACAAATTAGGCCTATATTATTTTACAATTTTTCACATTTACTTGATTATTACGCCATAATTTTAACATTGTTTCCATCTCAGTGATAATACTGTGACGTTTACGAATGATGCTTGAATTTAAAGATTGAGCATTTTTCACAGCTTCGAGAATTTTTTCTTTGCCTTTTATAATTGTTCTGACCG